CTTGTTGAACATTTTTAACAAAGACAGTAGATTCTGATGCTGCCGCCCCCTGGACACTGCTCCTCAGCCCTTCCTCAACTTCCTCCCCAGAGGAAACCATGGTCCAGATGTGTTTATGGTCATGTCTATGTGTTTCCAGTTTGCGGTTTCACTTCTCTATCCTGTTTCACTGTGGCACTCCCTGACTCCTTGGGGTCAAGGAGGACAAAGATGATTCTCATAACATGTGCAGAACATTAATTTTCCTAAACTGGTAGCAGCCAATTTAGAGCAGGGGAAAATCAAAGACCCACTAAACTAGTCTGGTGGTATGGAGATTCTGAGTCAGGATTGCATTCTGAGTTCTGTCCCTAGAAGGTCAGAAAAACCTGCTGCCCCAGGTAACAGCAGGTGGTTCTGTCCCCCAGACTGCCCTGACCCCAGGTGTCAGATCCTGGGGGAAGGGGGATGATGAAGGTGCTGTGCCCTGGAAACCAGGGAGGAGCTTTGTAGACCCCCACCACCTGATCTGGGTTTGCTTTTCCAGTGGGGATTTTCATCTTATCTCCTGGCCCGGACTTGGTCTCCTTTGCTACTGAAATTGGGTAACTAAAGATTCAGAAGCAGATGAATGAAGATGCTCTATTTGGGACATAAATTATATTTTGCTGAATATCCTTCCTGTTTGGGGAGGGGTTGCCTCATGGGCCACAGAAACTGGAGGTTGGCAGTCCTTGCCCCATTTGTTAGCCGGTTGGGTAAGGGGGTGATTTAGAACCAGAAAAGCATCTCCTTCCACCAGGAAGGGGTGCCGAATCTTGAGGAGTAATGAGGTAGGCACAGGGAAAATGAGAATCCATGGATGGCACAAGTGGTTGAGCTGAGGATTTGGTGGTGACGGTTTTCTAACCAGCTTTTGAGTCTAGCTCTCTATCCTTCCTACTAGTTCCGTGAATAACCTCATCTCTGAAAAAATCCTCTTCTGTTTATGTTACCCTGAATCAGCTTTTCTGGTTTGCTACCAAAAGCTATGATCAGTGAATAATTTTTCCCACATTTAAACATTCTGAATTCTGGATGCTTCTTCCAATCAGAGTCAAAAGACACTCGCCACCCCCATAGCTATCACCAAGGGTGTAAACTCAGCCATGCAGTCACATCCCTTCCTTCAAGAGCCACTTGGGCCAGGGGTTGGCCTGGATAGTATCACAGGTGCCGAAAGTAAGATATGAGAGTTAACTGCGGTTGGCAAAAAAAAAAAAAAAAAAAAAGAAAAAAAAAAGAAATATACTTAGTTTATCTTTACTCTAAAAATCAACAGATGGCAAAGATGTTGGTTATAGAGATGAGGAGACAATTTGAATCTGCTTATTTAAAGTTGGATTTTGCAATAGAAGAAAGCTCCCCTATTTTAGCTCATTGTGAGGCCAGGCAAACCTTCCCCTCTGATTTAGGACTCAGAATCTAACCCAAGTCTTCATCACTGTCCTAACACCTGGGTGAAACCTGGATTAAGTCATATTTTATGTAACCTCTTTAAGCTATTTTCTCACTGTTAAAATTTGTTATTAGTAATTGTATGAAAAAATACTTTTAATATACTGGTACAATGTTGTGACTTCCTAAATTTTTTTTTAAAGATTTATTTATTTGTGCATACAGAACTGAGGTACAGCCAGAGGTCCAGGGGCAGTGAGAGGATTCACGAGAGACAGAGTGGGGAGCAGAACAGGCAGACTGAAGAAGTACACTGC